TAGTTAAATCAACATATTTTAGGATGTCTTCGTTGTTTGCCAAAAGAGGTGAAATATGGAATGCTGTGTTGCAATCTGGACAACTATGAAGTGAAAGTTGCATGAAGTACATTAAGGCAGAAAGTGCCAAAGCAACACTCATCTGGTTATACGGTTTGACTGACACAGCCACAACTTCATTGTCAAAGAGACAATCGACCACAACGAGGGCCTGCCAAGACAAGAGTATAGGGTTATACTACCTTCTCGTTGGTGCGATTGTGGCAAGTTTCAAGCATTTCGTATGCCTTGCTCTCATGTCATTGTTGCGTGTGCCTATACTCATCAAGACGCGCTACAACTTCTGTCTCCCATTTACAAATCAGAAACCTTGCTCAACGTATACAACAACAACTTCCCTTTGGTAGCAAAACCTGATTATTGGCTTGCATACGACGGCGAAATAGTATGGCACAATGACCAAATGCGAAGGAATAAAAAGGGTTGTCCCAAAAGTAAGTGCATCACAACTGAAATGGACTCCCTTGACAAGCTGGAAAGAAAATGTGGTTTATGTCGTCAAGTCGGACATAATCGCAAAAATTGTCTGAATCAGGCTACTGGCTCAACCACATAAAAATTGTATTACAAAACATCTTTACTTTTTAAGTTGTAAACATTAGGGTTTTTTCATTAACAACATTTGTTACAGTAAACCTTGCGCGAACAAGAAATAAAACACGATAAACCGTCTACAAAATTACAACCGTTAAAACAATTTCATCTGACCCATGCATCATCAACATTACGTCGCTGTCTGTTTTGACTTCCTCCAACCAAAAATTAGGTCTTCCTGTCGCAAGTGAGGTTGTTGTTCGTCTTCACTGGATCCTTCTAATTTGTTCCCCCTCCTTGATGTCTCCCTCTAGCCATCGCATCAACTCCCTCTTCAGACGCTCCATGGAGTGGATGTGCCAGAATTTCATTTTCATCGAAGGTTTTGTGGCAGAGAAAATAACGTAACCATCTCTGATAAAAATCATGGACGATGTCATGACGCAAATAACAGAGAAAAAAAGAGAACAGTGCGAGAAAGTGTGAGGAATGACGGAGAAACAGACAGATTATTTATAAAAATTGCATTTTGCCCTATGAGCCAAGTGAGATAGCGCCTCCTCTCACTTTTAAAGTGCATGCGCCATCTCACTTGGTTAAAAGAGAGAGGAGGCGTCAAGTGGGATGGCGTCTAGGGCAAAATGGGGAGTGGATGCACCAACTGGGTTGGCTCCTCCCTTGTGGGGTTTTCTGAAACATGGTTATTTGCGGAAAAAAATTTTAATACCTGATTATTTCAAAAAAAAAAAGAATTTTTTTTGTAAATTTGTGTTTGTTATGAATTTTATTTTATTTTATTTAGAGTAATGATATTTTTCCATTTTCAATTTTTTAAATACCATTGATTTTAAAATTGAAGATATAATAAATCACATTAAAGTTCATTATAACAAGAGATAAAATCAAATCAATTAATAATAAATGTCTCTTTTTTTTATAAATATTATCGACCATATGAATAAACATTTGTGAAAAATTATCGTCTAATTTTTCCAAAATTCTTTAATATGAAATCAGAGAAATTATCAAATGTTTTTAATTGAGGTGATAGATTATTATTAATTCAAATATTTTTATAGATAATGGAAAAATAAATATGATTTTTATATATAAAAAAATATTATTAATTCAAATATTATTATATAAAAAAACATTATAAGCGCCAATTTATTATAATTTTTAAAAATAATAAAATTTTTTGATTAAGAAATTTTATCTTTTATTTTATTTTAAAAACAATACGCATATCATAAAAAATACTGTCCGAATACACGAATATCATACTAAAATATTAATTAATTAATTCAAATTCTTAACTTAAAATGTCAATTAATTATTGCACTACATTAATCTTCATAATATCAAAATATTTAAGATATTATCATATTTTAATTGAAATCGCTATTGATGTGCAATTAAATAGAAATCAAATATTTAAAAATACTATATAAAGTTATATACAACACAAGAATAATGAATAAGAATATAAAAAATTTATATACAAAAATAATTTTGTATAGAGGTAGAACATAGTCCCAAGTTCTATATTCTATATTTGAAATGAAAAAATAAAATTATTAATTAAAATATTAAAAATGAAAAAGTATAATTAATTTAAATATTCAATCGGTGTTATTTTTATAAATGAGAATCTATTTACTATTAATTCAAATATTTTTTTAAATAATATCAAAATAAAATAATATATTTATATACAAAAAAATATGTACTTTTAATTCAAGTATTTTAATTAATTAATATATAATTTTTATTTGTCAATTTCAAATTTTTATTGTTATTAATATTTTTGATGATGGTCAATAATAGAAACAAATTTTGGCCCTTACAATAACTTTTCATTTTCTTATTTATATTTTTTATATTTTTTGATGTAGTATTTTTTATTACATTTTAAAAATAAATGTGTACGTATTATATTAGTATCCGTGCGAACACATGAGTATTGATATAATACGGGTATATAATAGTGATAAAGTTATTGATTTAAATATTATATAATAACGAGAACAAGTTTACTATTGACTTAAAATTTTAAATAAATATTTTCAAAACAAAAATATTTATATATAAAAATAATTATAGTGTTGATTTAAATACTTTGATATACGAAAGAAATTATAGAAATCGATTTATTATCTTTTTTAAAAATAAGAAACTATTTTGGTTAAACAATTTTATCTTTTTTATTTTGTTTTTATTATATCTTTGAAAACAAATGCACTAAACATACAAGTACTCGTGTGAACGTATGGATAACACACAAGTACCGTGTGAACGCACGAGTAACGTAACCAAAATCCGTGCGAATGCACGAATTATTAAATTTTTTTACAATTAAATAAAATAAAAGTTAAAATAATGTATTAATCCAAACACAAAAAAAATATGTTATTTTTTAATTATTTATGTATCTAATATTTTTGTTTTGAAATTATTTTTAATTTAAGATACAAATTTTTTAGATAATATATAGAAAACTAAAATATATATTATTTATGTAAAATAATTTTATTTTTATTTTAAAAGTATGTCTTTCTTTTAAAATAACAGACTATTTTGGTAAAATAATTTTATTTTTTTTATTTATATTTTTATTATATTTTAAAAATAAAAACTGTGTGTACCACACCAGTACCCCTGCCAACGCATGATGTTGAGATCAGAATTCGTACAAACTTACGGATTATTATATATTTTTTACAATTAAAGAAAATAAAAGTAAATATATTTAACATTTATGTATGAGTACGGAAAAAATGAATTATTTTTTAATTATTTAAGTTGGTGTAAAAAACGATACCTTGAAAATAAAGTATAAACTGTTTCTTTATGATCAAGAAATACACAAGGTAGATAAGATGGAAAAACAAGAAGAACAACAAGAATTAGTTATAACTGTTATTTTTACTTTATCTTCAACCAAGATTACAAGTATAAAAGAATAACAAATAACCCTCTCACCATAAATTAGAATTTGTTATTTTTACTTTATCTTCAATCAAGATTACAAGTACAAAAGAATAACAAATAACCCTCTCACCATAAATTAGAATTTGCAGTATACAATGATGAGAGTCTAGTATGCTATTTATAATAAACATAACATACTAAACTAATGAGTCCTTTCACAAATACTCATTACAAGCTAACTTACACAATTGGACATAACAAACATACCCAATTCGATGCTAAGAATCCTAGCATTCTTCGACAACTACACACTAGAACACATTTCGACTACAACATGAAAGTCTTCGACAACAGCATGTGAGCAATCTTCGACGACATGCTTAACTTCTGTCGAACTGTCGAAACCACGAAGCTACCTTCGACGAACTAGAGTTTGATTCCAATATCCAACAAATCTCAACCTTAGAACAAACTCTATAATATCAAAGAATAAACTAACTTTTTTCATGCAACTTTATCAACTACTTACAGTGAAAAAACGTGTAACTGGACAATGTCTTGGTGATCATATCAATAGCATTATGATCTGTCGAAACCTTTGACACTTGAACTTCTCCACGCTCGATTACTCCTCTGACGAAGTGCAGTCTCACATTGATGTGTTTGGTTCGCTTACAATAGACTGAATTCTTCCACATAGATATTATATTTTAAAATAGAATTTTTTTTACCAACCACTCGTCTAATATTAGACGAGACATATTGAAAGTGTGACAGATTCATCATTTATTTTCAAAATGTGACAGATTCGTAATTTAATTTCATAGTGTGATAAATTGATATTTTAAATTTTAAATAGAGACAGTAAAAAAATCTTGCAATATGTGGTTTTTCTCTTGTCACATCTTGTGCTAAATAGTAATTTAATATATTTTGCCTTTTCAAAAATAATTAGAAGCGAGTCGCTCACAATTTTGTATCGTGACATTCCTCTGTAAACTGATTTTCTATGATTCTTCTCAGTCACCCGGTCTCCTCCATGATTTAGAAAACAAAAGAGACACGTTTTCAACTTCACGTGCTTACTTTTTAGAGAGAGAAAAGTAAACATTAATGTAGACAACTGCCAAGACTAGATATAAGCCCTGGAATTTATGTCGTCCTTTTTAGCACTCAACAATTACATTCAATAAGCCAATAAAAAAGATAAAATAAAAACCTTGGAATTGGAAACCCAAACAAAAACCGACATAAATTTACAACGTCTAAAAACCCAATACTAATGCCAATAAAATATTAGTACTAATGTTTTGTTTTGTTTTGTTTTTGTTTTCCCTCCCTCTTTTTCTGCCTTTTGTTGCCACTTCCACCACATCACATCACTCTATTTAATTTTTATTTTATCATTACAAGCATCTAAACTAAAGAAGTGGAAGCATATCACTAACACAACAACCACCACCACACACTTCTTAATGGAATTAGAACAAGCAAAACAAGAGTTGAAAATGCTTGAAACCCTATACCCAAATCAACACCACTATCTCAAACATGAACTTAGATCCTTCATCATTCAACATTCCTATTCACACCCTCTTCCACAATACCATACCTCCCTCGCTTTCTTAGACACAGAAGGTTCCTTTTTTCTCCCCCCTTCTCATCTTCTTGTTATTAACGTTGTTTTGTTAGATATGTTTTTTTGAGGTTGTTTTTTTCTGTGTCATACAGAATCCACTAACTTGGAGCAAACAAAGGGTATAAAACTTGGTTTACCTGACATACAAGAAGTAACGGAGAAGAAGAAGAAGGGTGCTGAAAGCTCGGTGCTTGAATCTCCCAAGCATTACCCTAGTAGCAGGAAGAAGAAGAGAAAAGATAGGGTCGATTTGGTTCTTGAAAGGGCACAAAATTGTCTCAAAAAAATTCGACATTTCAAAACATCCTTATTTTCTCATTCTTGATTTTACTTTGTTACTAGATTCAGTTTCATGGAAGATAGCAGTAAATAGTTTATTAGACTATTTTGATTATTTTTTTTGTGACTTTTGGTAAGCGACAAATTAAGCTGTCTATTTTTTCATGTGAACGTTGAAAAGGTGCAACATGAAAAAGTTATCTTTTTGGTTAGACAAGCTATAATGGAAGAACAAGTAGGGTCAGTTTTAGCCTTTATTAAAATTAAATCGGTTCATTTATTATAGTTGGATTAAGTAATATTATTATTTTCATCATTGCTTTATTTTCTACTGGAGTACATTATTCTACATGTATAGTTTTATATTGCGGTCACCATTGAGATTATTTCTTTGCTTAATTGTGCTTTCAAATTGGATTTTTCTGGACATCAAAATGTTGCCGATTTTTAGAAATGTATATTCCGAAGCATTTTTATTCCGACTCTAGATGAACAAGATCTTATATAAGAGAAGGGAATTAATTGGAGAGATATAGGAGAGACCCGTAATTATATCTTTAGAATTATCTCAACTATAAATTATAGTTTAGCCTAAAAAAAACTCATATGTTATGTAGAAGTATTCTGGAGTTGGGTATACGGGAGAATCTGTAGTTGTATTTTTAAAATATATTGACACAAATATAAATGTTTGTCTTTTCTCTTCCTCACTTTCAGAAACACATTTTAAATAAAACTCTCTCAAAACTCTTACAACTCCCTTGTGCGAAAATCTCATTAGAAACTAACAAATAACAATCAAACATCATCTAGGGATGACAACAGGACGGGTTGGGGACGGGTTTAAGCACACCCAGACTCGCACCTGCTACCTAGACCCGTCCCTGTCCCCAAACTCGGTCGGAGCTAATATTTATTCTCCAATCCCGCCCCTAATAAGAAACGAGTTTACCCGCACCCGTCCTACACCCGCACGAATAAAATATTAATTTTTAAAAATTTATATTTTTTTCAATAAAAATAAAAATCAATAATTAAACTAAATAGTTAATTATTTTAAAAGCATTTTTATGTTTAATATTTTTATTTAAATTGTATTTTCAAAACAAAATAATTCTAATAAATATGATATTATAACATTAAAAAATGCAAATGAGTAATAAAACTATTAAAAAATAAATTAAATAAATTAAATTTAGTTGGCGGGTGCGGGGCGGGTGCGAGTGCAGGGTGGGTACTAGCATCACCCGCACCCGTAAATAAAAATCAGGTTTTCCCCACACCCGCCCCCGGTTAAACCGGGTTTCCCCCGCTAATTTCGGGGCGGGGGCGACCGGAGCCCGGCAGGGGCGGGTTTATTTGCCATGCCTAGCATCATCTAACATCAATGTTGAAGCTTCATCAACCAACAAGAATCAAATTTTGAAGTGAAATTGTAAAAGTGTTTTTTTTATATAGTTTTTTGGGTTAATGTAAATGCATTTAGAAATTGAATTTTAGGTTAGATAATTGAAATATTTTTAGTGTTTGCAAGTTTAGAAGTATGCTTAAAAGTCTTAGTATGGTTGCTTTTTCGATGAATGAACATTTTTGTTGAGGACTTAGTAGCCTAACCTTCGCCATTGACAAAGCAGAAAGTTGCGAGTAATACTAGGGATACATTTCAGAAATTTTTGAACGTTTACATAAAAATCGGAGATGCATTTCTGATATTAGTTTGTCTGTATTTTTCCTTTTTCTAAACATGAGTCATTGTGTAATGTTTGTTTCGTACTTCTACAGAAGTTATGACAGAAAACGCATCTAGGTTGAGACACGACAGACTTGCACATCATGATTCGGTTCGGAGGGAAATCAGTCAAGCATCTCAGGTTCCTTCTACCTTAGGACAGATTGTGGCGGAGGTGGCTACAGATTTCAGTGTTCACGTTTCTCTTCCTTCTTCTTCGTTCTCCTGCAACAGGCGAGGTTTTCCTGCTCATACATCCCCGCCTTTATCTTCACCTAGATGCACTACTTCACCTATGGTATTTGAGGCAGGAGAGACATTACACACCTATATGACACCTGAGGCCACATAGTCGGTGCCTGATGCATCCCAACCTCAGTCTCAAGCGACACCTGAGACGACACCTGAGGCATCACATGCGTCCCAGCCCTAGGCAGATGAGACTGTATTTGCGACCACACAGTCAGTGCCTGATGCATCCCAACCCCGGGCCCAGGTAGATAGGCCGCACCTGCGGCCACACAGTCGATGCCTGATGCATCTCAGTCCTAGGACCGAGCAGATGAGGCCGTACTTGCGGAACCTCAGAGTTTTGAAGGAGGGCTTTCTGATTTATCGCTGCTCCCTTTATACCCAAACCATGTTGTTAGACATATCTGGGACGAACAGATAAAAATTAGTTGGAACTATTAATTTTTGTAGTGTTTATTTTACTATCAAATTTTGTTTGGTTGAATCATTTTTTAAACCATGTATGCAGGAACGTAATCTGCTAAAGATCATTAATCATGTGCGAAAGATCAGTCGCCTTACAGCACCCAGTGAGCTATGGTTTTAGGAGGTCCGACAACTTTCAGGGTTGAAAGGTTTGACCCTCTTTGGATATACTATTGTTAATCTTGGTATAATTAGCACTTTTGTTGAGAGGTGACATCATGAGATGTCATCGTTCCATCTATCACATGGTGAGATGACGATCATACTGGACGATGTCGCATGTCTGCTGCATCTTTCGGTAAGAGGGAGGTTTTTAGATCATAGGAAGTCTGACAAAGAAGATGAACTAGACTTGATGGTATAGTACTTAGGAGTTACCCCACATAGTACCATGAAGGAGATGAACCAAACTAGTGGTGCTCTTTCCACATTTAGCTATTTGTAGGAGGTGTTTGCTGCAAAGATACTGAGTGCACGTCAGACTGAAGGTGATCCCGAGCAGGTAGCCCAACACACAGTGTATGCTATGAGAGTATATTTATTGTATCTGGTTGACACTGGCATTTTTGTGTACACGACTGTGACTTACTCGGATGTCATATACCTGTGATACTTTGAGGACTTTGAGCAGATCCATGAGTACAACCAGTGGGTAGTATGTTTGGCGTACTTGTACTCTAAGTTGTCTGAAGGCTATAGGTGGAAGACGAAGTAGATGACCGACAACATCACACTTTTGACGGTAACATTTATTAGTCTTATATTATACATGTCATTTTATTAATTATTACGATGCCACTACTAACTAATGATTCTTGTTTTTCAGGCCTGGATCATACAACACTTTTCTCGCATATCTAGTTGGTCACTTGAACCTACGTATACGAAGAGAAGATGTGTGTCGCTGCATTCAACCCGCTCTCATGGAACCAGACGACAAAGTAGTCTAGGGTGTATATAGACCACTTGGTCTTTGATGATATACACTTCTAGGCATACGTTGACCACCGTCTGACGATTCCATTTGAGGTCATTATCTAATACTCTGGATAGTTAGATTGCGAGTCACGCAAGACGACTACTCATATGTATGAGCTCGTCATGCGTCAATTCGGCTACATGTAGTACATTACCATGGATCATGTTGTGTTTTCTCCTCCCATGGTGAAACACAAGGATATGGATGCCATGTTTGATAATTATGTTAATCATCTGGTACCAGATGAAGCACAGAGTACCATAGCACTAGACGACTGAAGCTACGTGGGCAATTACATCCAATAGTTCTTCAAGGTGTCTCATTCATATTTTATACAAGATGCTCAAGCAAACCCATATAGGCTAGCTTATCAGGAGATTCTAGAGGAGGAGCAGACTATAGTCGATCATGCTCATGATGTGTTACATATGTGCCATCGTATCGTGGAGAGTGGACAAACAAGTATTGACGAGGGACTGTTTCCTGATGGATCTGAGGTTAGAGGTGTATTAGATGCCATCTTGAGGGAGGTGTATTACACGCACTAACCATATTGAGATGATGCTCCATTTCACCAGGGATCATATTGAAAAGTGTGATGTAATTTTTGAATATGTGGACAATAAAAATCAGCTTGTTGATATTTTTTACAAAATTATTGTTCGCAAAACCCTTTTACAACATTCGTAGGGAATTGAGGATCCTTGATCGTTCTTGCTTTGAATAAGTGTTGATTCTATTTGTTATTTTCCTTTTTATATATTTTATTAAGGACTAATGATTTCTTGTGTAGTGTAATACGGTGGGAGAACTGACTTGGGATGTTTTACGTTTGATCGCAATTGTTGCGGTTAGCAAGAGTCGCCACCGACTTTTCTTTTATCCAATAAGGAAAGGCTGAAAAGAACAGGAAATACCTTTGAGATTATTTCTTAATTTCGGGGGGTAGATTATGAAAAGGGAATGTATTAACACCCTTTTCATCTATAGTTATCTATGGGCTCTTAGTTGCTTGCTAGATCACTTGCTTTATTTGAAAAATGTGTTTTGTGGTGTTTTTTGAAAGTATTTTGAAAAGGCGCATTCGTTTAGGCGAACTTTGTAATGGTTCTCGTTTCGTAAGAACGTATATAAAGTGTTGGACTTTTGAAAATATTTCATGTTTTGAAAGTGTTTGGTGTGTGTTTGTTTTGAAAGTGTTTGGTATTTGTTTTGAAAGTGAGCAAGCAACTAATAACGTTTCTACCTACTCAAAAGTATTTTGTTCATTTCCTTATTTCCTTTGATTGCTATCTTACCATTGATTGGTAAGAAGCCTTATCTTTGGATGTAAAGGGACATGCATGGGTCATCGTATAGTCATGATAGCAATGTTGTGAGATATCTTATCATTTTTCTTTGAGGGACTAAGATCATTTGTAAGGCAACATTTGAAGCGTCGTCGAGGGGACTATGATCTTGTATTTTTGATTGTTTTTGCTAAGACATCCCACATGCACAACATGATCATTTCTTATAAGACAACAAGTGGAATTACCCTAAGAGTGCATGTGTGAATAGTGTGTTTGATTTGCATGCATTGTTTATCTTGAATTAGGGTTATCTACTTGTTGATTTTATC